TATTATGCTAAGAAGGCACTTATTAGACAAATAATGTAAGATAAACATACTAAACCCTGTACACATGAAGAAGCTAAGCAAGGAGGACCCTGCTTAACATGATCAATCCTCACACAGAAAGGCAAATGGGATGAACATCACAAGAAGAAGAAAACAGGGAACAGGACAGGAGTCTACCACAGAGAGCCTCTGAAAGATTCTACGAAGTAGGATATTGAAGCAGATGCTGAGAATCTTAGCCAAACTTTGTTCAGAGTGCAGGGATTCTTATGAAAGACAGGGGAAACAGAAAGATGTGGAGGGGACAGGAGCTCCACAAGGAGAGCAACTGAATCAAGAAATCTGAGCCCAGGGGTCTTTTCCAAGACTGATACTCCAACCAAGGACCATGCATGAAGATAACCAAGAACCCCTGCTCAGATGTAGCCCATGGCAGTTCAGTCCAAGTGGGTTCCCTAGTAATGGGAACAGGGACTGTCTCTGACATGAACTCAGTGGCTGGATCTTTGATCACCTTCCCCTGAAAGGGGAGCTGTCTGACTATGCCACAGAGGAAAACAATGTGCCAATCCTGATGAGACCTGATAAGCTAGGGTCAGATGGAAAGTGAGAAGGACCTGGGGAGGAGCATGGAACGGGTTGAGGGAGGGAGAACAGGATTGGAAAGGAGCGAGGGAGAGGGCTACAGCTGGGATACAAAGTGAATACACTTTAATTAATATAAAAATAAATTAAAAAGCTCAAAATAATCATCACTGTAAATGTCAGCACCCTTGCTGTTCAGGTACATTTAGCACATAAACTTGAAAGCTGAAGAGCCACATTTTATAAGCTATTCAAGCTGTTAGGTTGTTAGAGAAGATAAACAGAAGAATATTGTTAAGTTTTATGTTTCCCCATGGCCTTCACTTTATGTATGGCAAAATAGCTGCAGAAATGTCAAGAAACTTGGCAAAAATTAAACAGGAGGATCAAAAGTGGTCCCAGAGAACAACTACTAAAATGAAGTATTCGTGTGGGATAAATAACTGAATATTCCCTGACTCCACGACTCTTAGAGCTGTATGTAGAAAGATGCTGGTTAGATGACTGTAGGTTTGATGCTTCAAATATAGGGAGCGTGCATTAACTTTAGGTTCTGCTGACTTTGAATTGGGGGTCCCTCTGAAGCTGAGATTTTAGATATAGTTCATATGCTCTGATTCTGGGATTACTCCAAGCATCTGGCTACTTTTCTCAAATGAATAAATATCTGAGGAGTTTTAATATGGATATAGAAAACATTCAAAAAAGTGATTAGTTTAAAACCTTTTAAAATTTGGGAAATGCATCACCATAAATTATTTGTATAACTAACTGGATCTTTTTTAAATATTCTGAATACTGGGTGGTATTTCACCCAAAAAAAGAGTAAATTATGAAATTAGTTTCTAGTTTAAGCTCATCAGGAAAGCTGCAATGAAAGTACTTTGCTATCGGGAATCACATGAGCTAAAAATGACAGTACATTGTCTCATCAAATCCAATTTTTTTCATACTTCACTGGAACCTGCGTTTGGCAATTATTAAAAATATTTAAGTATATTTCTCATATATATATAAACTCAAAAGGCAATTAATAACAGAAACTTTAAAAATCTGAGATGAACTGTTGATATGGGTGGTGAGGAAGAAGAAAATTTTGTCTTTGGCATCATGATGTATCATGATGCATAAGTTTTGGAATTAATCATTTATAAGAAACACAGTAAGTCTGCCTTTTGTATGTTCAATTCAACCCTACAGTTACTCAGCAGAAAGAATCCTCTACTACAAATTGCAACAAAGCGAAAGCTTCTGAATCCTTCCTTTTCACCCACATTTCTTCAGTAGTTTTCCATGCCCTTGGTATGCTGGTATTGCAGATGAGGACACTCTGATCTCCACCCTCAGTGCTTCTAGTTGAAATGCTAGGCCATCAGGAAGCTGCACCTGAGAAGAAAAATGATACTTCAATTGTTAGGTTCCTATAAGATTCACTGGAAGTAGAAAAAAAAAATCTCTATTACACATAAACAATTTATAAAATAATAAGAATGGGAGAAGGCAAGGACAAGAGGGAGAAAAAAAAAAGAGAGAACTATTGGAATGATGAAAAATTCCAGAAAGGACATTAATATGTTATCAAAATCCACATATTAAATCAGTACTTGTGGAGGGCTCATTAGTTAAGAGCACTGGGTGCTCTTCCAAAGGATCTGGTTCAAATCCCAGCACCCACACGGCAATTCACAGCTGTCTGTAATTCCAGTGCCAGGGTAAGGTTATGGCACCGTCACACAGAAATACATGGAGGGAGAACACTAATGTACATAATTTTTTTTTCTTTTTTTAAAAATTTTTTATTACTTACACTTTATTCATTTTTGTATCCCCCCATAAGCCCCTCCCTTCTCCCTTCCTGATCCCACCCTCCCTCCCCTTTTTGTATGCATGCCACTCCCCAAGTCCACTGATAGGGGAGGTTCTCCTCTCCTTTCTGATCAAAATTAAAAATTACATTTTGAAAAGAGCAAGTGATTAAATTAACTAATTAATTAGTTTTTGTGAATTGGACTCTGTTTTGTTTGTTTGCTTTGGATTTTTGAGACAGGGTTTCTCTATTTATAGCCTTGGCTGTCCTGGAAGTGCTTTGTAGGCCAAGCTGGCCTTGAACTTACAGAGATCCACCTACCTCTGCCTCCCAAGTGCTGGAATTAAAGGCATGAGCCACCACCGCCCAGGGGACTCATGATTTTCATAAGGAAGTTAAATCCCAGAACAAGAGCATGAGTATCTCCAGAAAGAGTGAGCATGTGGAACAGGGAGTGCAAACAGTTCACATCAAAGCCTGTGATGTGTTTGGCTCGTTTCCTTTAGCTCATTGAGAATTGACATGTGTCACTTGAAGCAGCAGCTCTTCCTCAGAAATAGTGGCCTTCCCTAGTGGACTTTTGAAACTGTCAAGAGCTACTTGGGTGCCATAATTGAGGATCACTAATATCATTAATGTCATTTACACACAAGGGGAATAAAGGCATCTCAGCATGCAGAGTCCTTGCCATTGGAATAATGTCCTCAAAAATGGCAATAGCAGCCTTTTAGAGAACTTGATTCTAATGTTACCTCTCATGTCTAAAGACTAAGAGTGACAGGATAGCCATGTTCGCCAGTCCCATCAAATATAGGTATGTGAGGGAATGAAGGAGGAAAGAAAGGCAGAGTGGTTACACAGTGGAGTATTCTATGCTGAAAAGAGTGGAATCCAACCATTTGTATCAACATTGATGAGCCTGGGAAATATTCTACTAAGTGGTTTGTGTGCATTCCACTAAAGCTGAGCTCATAGGAATTAATATAAAATGACAGTTATCTAGAAGGAGTGGTGGGTGTGGGGTGGAGGAATAAAGGGGAATGGTTGAGCAAGAGGTGCTGAGCAGCAGATCGGTGAAAAAGAGAGTTTTGCATGGTTTAGTGTAGACAATAGTAGTATGCTATTCACTTTAGAAAGCTGGAAAGAGGAGCCAGTCACAGAAAGTGGTGAGGGAAAGGCCTCCCAAGAAAAAACAACAGTGTGAAATCAAGGCAGCACGGACTCAGGAGAAAAGGATTCCGCTAAGATAAGCAAGCTTTCCTTGAATGCCTGATTTCTTGCCAAGACAATGAATCTAAATAGAAGCAACAATTCTGTGTGGTTGGCACCGAGCCACTTGTGCTTCGCTCATGAACTTCATTTTTATTACATATTCAGCTTTCATGGGCTTGTGATTTCAAATTGCAGTCTGGGAAGACTTTTTTAATTTTATTTCCATCAGTGGACATTTTGCCAGTGGATTATTCTACTACTACTACTAGCTCTTTTGTACTAATGGTGAACAAATGTAGTTTGAATTGACAAGGCCGGAATTCAATAATGTATGACAATGTGCTCATGTTTTCTTTTATCCACCGTCATTTTATTGGTTTTAATCCTCTTCAGCGGTTTATGTTTTCAATTAAATATATTCAATGTCAGTTTCTTCTACATTCATTTAAAGCCATAACTTGTAAGTTATTATTTGGTTAGCAGTGACAGCAAAATTGGTAAATTTCAGTAGTGCTTTGTGATCAGTAGTGAGCTTTTTATTATTCCCTCGCCTAATGAATTCAGGTAGCACTAACGGTGTGCTAACTAATTACGTAGCTGAAATGAGTCGAACGGGAGGAAAAGACTGGATGCTTATGGATCATTCTGTTAAGGGTCAGACACACCATCCTTTGTGGATGCATAATACAAACATACCTCCCAGTGACGAAATCTTTAAATAATAACAAGCCTCCATCATATTATGTTTTCCCAAACTAAGATTTCTTAGTAAATCAATAAAGTCTGAATTGTGATATCTAATTCTAAGTGCTTGGCTCTAGTTGTAGATATGACAACACTGTGACTATTTAATATGACATAGTCATTTTAAAAAATGTCCACATGATATCCTCAGGGGTAAATTTTGCTCTAAGATGGGCACCATGCCCCACCACTCCCTGCTGAAGTATTAGCTGCTGCTGGCTTCTAAGAGAAGAATAGTTTCTTTCTTTAGCTGTGTGCAAAGTAAATTGCCCACCAGTCTTACATGCACAGCTCCAAACTCATGATCACAACACCTTCTTTGGTAAACTCAGTGGATCTCAAAAGAAAAGGGATATGGATGTTTTAAAAGGTATGTGGAAAAGGACGGTCAGAAGGGTAGAAAGGAATATGGGAGAGAATATGGGGTTCCTTTAACCCCATCTCAACTTATCTATGATTAAAAGTGTCAAAGACAAAAATAACTCAATTAAATAAATAATTAAAAAATACAAAGTTAATGGGTAAAAAATTTGAACATTAAGATATAGCCTATATTCTCCTTCAGACCCTGCAAATACCCTGAAAAATTTATGTTTGATTTCAGACTATATGGTGAACTTAATAATTGTACGTGTGATTTTTATATCCCAAGGGAGGAAAGATACCAATACGGTGGACCTCACCAGAAGCAATTGCCTACCGCAAGTTCACATCAGCCAGCGATGTGTGGAGTTACGGGATTGTTCTCTGGGAAGTGATGTCTTACGGAGAAAGGCCATATTGGGAGATGTCCAATCAGGATGTAAGTGTGTGTTTCTAGTTTATGAGTTATGAGTTGAGATTAAAAGTTCAAGCTGTGCAAGGAAGTGGAGCATAATGAAGCCAGGTGGCGCCTACTTGGTGACAATCGAAGCTGCGTACTTAAGGTGTATAAAGATATTCCCACATCTTGCGGGGGTATTAATTGAGCTGTTTTTACAGCTTTTCTTATTTCCCTCAAGCAGGGTTTTAAAAATAGAACAAATGAAATATTTCTCACAAGAATCCAATAAAATAGTGTGTGTGTGTGTGCGCGCACGCACAGGCATCACAGAATATTTACAATATTTCTGCTGAAGAATTGTTTCTATTTAAAACTACTAAGAATATATCTGCTGTGCTTTCTTGACTAACTTTTTGCAACTGTTCCAGCATTTTTCTTACTTAAATTTAGTATTTAACAAAGACACAATTAATAATCTCAACCATGTTGTTTCTAATAATACACTAGGGTTCCACGTGAGTTTAATCACATAAATTGAAGGGTCTGGCTGAGGAAACACTCTTTAGCATTTGGCTATAACTACAGTATGCATTTTTTAAGAAAGTCGCGTTTGAATTTTTATTACATGTTGCTACTGTTAGTAGAAACATCAGCACATAGGATTAAGACCTTTCTTTATGTTAAGCAGAAATTGGGAGCAAGAACCTGAACATAGAAGAAAGGAGACTGAGATGATGCTGGCCAGTTCCAAGTCACTGCTCATGAGATTGCCTCTGTTATATTTTGATATATAGATTTGTTTTTGTACTCTCTCAAACATACTGACTGTTTTTAAATATATGAAAGCTATGGAAATGACACTGTTTTCCACTTATTTTCTCCAAATTCATGTTATATCAAAGCATCTGCAAGCATAGTGCCTGGGCCGGCATCTTTAGCATGGCCTAGAAACTTACTAGGAATAAAAATTTGCCCCCTAGGTGGATGATTCAGAAATTCAGTCAATTAGGTGAAAGTACTTTGTATATTAAAAACTCTTACAGATGTTTTTGATTTACTAAACTTTAAAAATTAATGCTTTAGGTGTTTTAAAACAATGATGCACTTCCCGTAAGAATTTACCAAAGTGTATTTATTTTATTTTATTTTATTTTATTTTATTTTATTTTATTTTATTTTATTTTTGTGGTTTGCAAAGTTGTGGCATGGCTGAAATCTGCTTCGTGATTTCTTTGCATGACTTGATACAAGATTTACATAATGATTTGTATAATGAAATAATCATTTCTTTCTTTCTTTCTTTCTTTTTTTTTTTTTTTTTTTTTTTGAGACAGCATTTCCCTGTGTAGCTCTGGCTGTCCTGGAGCTCTCTGGAGACCAGGCTGGCCTTGCACTCACAGAGATTCTCCTGCCTTGCTTCCTAGGTTCTGGGATTAAGGGTGGGAGCCACCACCTCCTGTCTAGAAATAATCATTTCTTAGTAGCAAGAAATTTCCCTATGTTATAGAAGCTTTGTTTTTACCTTGATTTCCCAAAGATCATTACACACATTACTTTCTCTCACTTCATCTTTAGAGAATATTTTCAGGCACAGATTATTTTTTAAATGTATACAGTCAGTTATTATCTTCTTGGGCAACTTAAAACAACTGTCTTTTTGAAGTTTAAAATATTCCTAAGTGTGAATGAAGATGTCCGATGAGTCTTATGTCTTCCAACCCCGGAAACTGTGCTTCTCACATAGGTAATTAGAGCCGTGGATGAAGGCTATCGCCTGCCCCCTCCCATGGACTGCCCGGCTGCCTTATACCAGCTGATGCTGGACTGTTGGCAGAAAGACAGGAACAACAGACCCAAGTTTGAGCAGATCGTCAGCATTCTGGACAAACTCATCCGGAACCCAAGCAGTCTGAAGATCATCACCAGCGCAGCAGCAAGGTGACACACTGGCACTCCCTTCACAAAGCATACTTCCCATTCCGCCGCCAATTCTTCCCACAACCTGTAGTTCTCAGAAATGGAGAGACAAGGTTTGCTTGTCTTTCCTTAACGTGAGGAATAATTCTCATGTGACTTTGGAATAATGATGAGACTATTAACATAATTCTTGGCTAGAAGTGTCCCTACTTTCAAGCTTAAGTCTGGGAAATAGGAAAGCTGAACGCTTAGCTTATTTTACTCCCCACTGTTTAAGGAAAAGGGTGTGGGGTGTTTGGTTAAAGCTATCTTCCACTAGCTGAGCCCAGTCTGATGGTGCACACCTGTGCTGGAGGAATCCAAGGTCATTCTCTTACATCGTGAGATCAAGACACCCTGAGTTATAGGAGATCCTTATAATATATATATATATCAGACAAGTAGTAAGTGTGTGATTTAAGCTTGTGTGTGTACGTGTGTGTGTGTGTGTGCACATATGTGTGTCTTTAAATTCATAAGAGGTTTGGTTAATTGTGAATTTTAACCAGATTTTTATGTAAATATTTGATGCAATATAAAAAAAAGTATGGTTCTAAATAAAGACAATAGCAAAATTTAAAATAAAGCATTGATTATAGAATTTTGGAAAATGAGGAAAAAGGGAAAAGGAGAGCACACACACACATATATATGTGTGTGTGCGTGTGTGTGTGCGTGTGTGTGTGCTCATTTTTTCTTGAACATATTCAAATTCTATAATGCATTTTTAACACATGTATTGAAAAATGATAGGCATGATCAAAATAAGTAATACCTTATTATTTTAGGTATTTAACTTTCAGATCAATTAAGTAATTTACAATAAGGAATTGCAAGACCTTTCTAGGCCTTTCTTAATGCTATAAACTATTATCTGCAATCACCATGGTGTGCATTAACTCTTCACTGCTTTTTGTCTATAATGCAAGTGTGCTTCTTTTTACCATGATCTTCCAATTTTCCTCTATTCTTTTTGTTTCTGGGTTGTGCTTGTTTGTTTTAGATTCCACTTGTGAGTTCATAAACAGTTCTTTATTTATAGGTGGATTATCTAACTCAAAATAGTGTCCTCAATATCCATCTACCTGCTCATTCTCATTCAGAAGGGCAAATGGGATAGACATCAGAAGAGGGAGAAAACAGGGAACAGGACAGGAGCCTACCACAGAGGGCCTCTTAAAAACTATCCAGCAGGGTATTAAAGCAGATGCTGAGACTCATAGCCAAACTTTGGGCAGAGTGCAGTGAATCTTATAAAAGAAGCTGTAGATAGAAAGATCTGGAGGGGACAAGAGCTCCATAAGGAGAACAAGAGAACAAAGAAATCTGGGCCCAGGTGTCTTTTCTGAGACTGCTACTCCAACCAAGGTCCATTCATGGATATAACCTAGAACCCCTGCACAGATTTAGCCCATGGCACCTCAGTGTCCAAGTGGGTTCTCTAGTAAGGAGAACAGGGACAGTCTCTGACATGAACTCAGTTGCTGGATTTTTGATCACCTCCCCATGAGGGGGGTGCAGCCTTACCAGGCCACAGAGAAGACAATGCAGCCAGTCCTAATGGGACCTGATAGGCTAGGATCAGATGGAAGAGGAGGAAGACCTTCCCTATCAGTGGACTGGAAGAGGGGCATGGGAGGAGAAGATTGAGGGGGGATGGGATTAGGAAGGGGTGAGGGAGAGGGCTACTGTTAGAATACAAACTGAATAAATTATAATGAATAAAAAATAAATAAAAAGAGCCATACCAAAAGAAGATTCATTTACATTGATATATATTAAGAAGATGCATGAGATGTATTTTCATAATAATTTATTGCTAGTGCTTGTGTTTTTTTACCTCATTACTAAAATGAGAGGGAACATTTATCTGCAAGATAATTAATTTTATTTCCTTTGCCTATCCACCCAAAATACTTGATAATATTTTAACTCTACTTTTAATTTTTAAGGGAAATTCGATGTTATATGAATTTACATACCCACCAATAATATTTCTTTTTATTTTCATCTTCAATAACTTTTAACATCTATTGCATTTTAATTATACCCATGTTAACAGATGTGAGGGAATCTTATTTGATCTGAATGTCTCAATGCCAGGTACTTACCTTTTACATATCTATAGTAATTTTTTCAGGTCCATTTGGATAAGTCTATACAGGTCTTTTGTCTATGCTTTATTATTTGTGGGTGTTTGTTATTTACTTGGGAGTCATATGACTTTCTAATACACTGTGGATAGTAATCTACTATTGGATTATGATCTGTAATGATTTATCCATTCTGTCACTTCTTTTCATATTTACTAATAATTTCTTTGTTGTTCATAATTTTTCTGTTTGTTGTAATAGTACTTTCTTTTTACTTGTTGCTTTCACTTTGATGACCATATTCAAAAGTTATTTCCAAGACCAGTGTACCAATGTTTTTCAATGTATATTTCCTTCTAAGTTTTTATAGTTCTGGTCTTTTGGTCCAGTCTTTATCCATTTTGAAATGAATATAGTGAGCATTCATGATCAAGAATGATCAGATTTTTGAACAAAAAAGAGAAATCTACATTAAGCTCTTAATGTTATTACTGGAGAATAGCATTTTATTATTTTCGTATAACATTTAGGAGTCACTGCAATAGAACTTATCGATGAATCTTTAGTTGAAATTTACCATAACTTATTCTATAAAGATTCAACTCTGCCTCAAACTTCACAAGGAGAGAGATAATGCAGACTCTGTGGAAATCCACCTGACAGTTTAACAACTGGCTGGATTACAGACCTGTGCTAGCCAGGGCATATGGTCCTCATTTTACACCTTGAAGCCATTTCTTTTGATCTTTGCTCAGTAGTAACTATAGCAGGGGAAAACAACTTTTCAACTCTCTTCATCTCATAAGAAGACATTTAAACCTTCCACTGAATGATCTTATCAATATAGAGCTAAATTATGCTATCAGATCTAGGGATATTTAACCTCAGTTTTGTGTGTGAAAATAATCTTAGATTACTGAATGTCTGTAGACAAACAAGTATCCAATTTTCAACAGACTTCTTAAACTGATTTTTTTAATGTGACTTTTGCTACTATAGTATAACTACCTGAATAATTTTCAAGCGTTTAGTTAAAAATACTTAACTCTGGGGAAAATATGGAAATTATTTTAGTGCCATCGGCTTAGTTCATTAAAATAAAATTGATGGAATTCATTGCTGTCTGCTCTTACCCACTTTGTTGTTTCTAGTCAAATTTTGAGGAAGTATCTCACTGACCATCACGAACAAATTATTCTACCTTTTCCTACTTCCTGCTTCTGTCTCCTCTGTATATTTCTGTAATTATCATTTCTATGTGACTTTTGCTATAAAAATATATTTTATGACATTATCACATTTTATAGTGCCAAGCATCACCATGGGAATTTACAAGGTGTATCTGAATTTGAGTCTTTAAGAAACAATACTAGAATCCAGATATTTTATAAAACTCTAGTGAGTTTTTCTAAACAGTTAAGATAGTGCATTCAGTATCACCTGTATTATCAGATAGTGTGGATCACTGTATCCCTATTTTTCTAACATTCCTCAAACCAAAGCTTTCCAAGCAGTGGTTCCAAGATCTCTTTAATTGTTTGCTGCTGTTGTTCCACAACAGTCCTCATTTTCTGTCCTCCCATTAGCCATGTTTCTTCTACTGTGTCTCTACTTGAGTTGAAGTGACTACACCAATAACTCTTTATTGGCCCGATGGGGTACAAGAGTAACCTTTTGCATGCCTTCCCTGCATCATCTGCTCCTCTGAGCTAGACTACTGCACTGACTGCCCAACTAAGCTCCTCTTCTGGTTTACCCTGTACTGACCATCTATCCATACAGCACTCATAATTGCCTCATCCTAAAAAATATAACTTCAGTCAGTTGTATATAACCAATTTGGTATTCTCTTTATAACTCGGAAGAATTGCCAGACTCCCTAGAAGCTTCAAAAAGCCTTGCTTTTCCCAGTGACACTTTTCGTTCATTCACTAATTTTTTGAGGGTGTTTTTAATAGGCCTAACATCTATGTAATAGAAACTGTGAAGACTCTGGAAAAAGAGGAAGCCAGATGGTGCTGACCATATTCACAATTATGCTACATTAAGATGTACAATGTGCAGCAGATTGTACAGACTGTAGGATGAAATAAATAGAAAGCTATGTGTAAAATGAAGCTATTGTTGAAAAATTAACCCTCTGAAGAGCCTGGATGTAAACTATGATCTAAAGTGTGATAATGAGTCACAGCTCCTCCCACTCCAAGACACACTACACACACGCACATGTGCACACAGTATTAGAGGCACAGGATAAGTGAATTGAAGTTATATTAAGATGAGAGAGTATTGAGAAGTACAGGCAGGTGGGTGGGAGAAGGATAATATTACTGAAGAGCAATGGAGAAAGGATGGTTCTGTCATAGCCTCGAAATACAAACAGAAGCCAGAGCACTTAAGGCTATGAGGCCATCATGAAGACTTTGGGATTTGATTTCAAGTGCATAAGGAATCCATTAAAGCATCTGCAGTAGAGAAGTTCATGGTTTGATTTACATAGCTGTTTTCTGGAGGGAAGGTGAACATGTGAGGCCATTTTAACCTTTATAGCTGAGCGCTTTCACTTTAGCACTTTCATGCTAGCCCGGTGACACTTCTGGTTCCCGCAGCACACTAACCATTTCAGAAGACAGAAGCCCATGCTGTCTCCCATCTCCTCCTTTTTTGCATCTTTTTGTACTTAAGGAGTCAGCTAAAGCATCATGTACTTATTGCAAGAGTCTTCTGTTATGATATTTAGCATTCTTTTCATTATGGATATTTTAGTATGAATTATTTAAAACAATCACTTCATTTGAATAGGTTAACACAACAGAATCATTGTATTATGTATCAATTTTATATTGTACTTCTTTACAAATAATTAATTTATTTCTTTAAAAGTAGAGT